GGGCTGAAATGCTGATTCTGGAAATGGCTAATTTTGTGTGATCTTGGTTTGACTGCCTTCCTAGGTGGCTCACTTGCCTCACAAGATGCCCGTGATATTGGAGACTTAAAGCCCGTGAAGCCATTTCTGTAAGCCCTTGGCTTCACATTCAGACATTAAAAATCATGAAAGGAGGACAAAAAGCCATGTGGGGTAAGGTAGAGGTAAATGTTTTCAGTATAAAAACTGAAAACAGAACAATTGACCAATCTCATCGCACCACCACTTGTCATTTTGGCGTTAAGATGGACTGTAAAAGTGCTTTTCCTTCTTCACAGAGGACCTATGAAGACCATCCATCATCTAGGTAGATTGTGTGACTTAACAAGAACAGTAAGGGCATAAGGGTATGTCTGCTCATCTTTACAGCTTGCATCAGTCTGTTTGGGTGAAATCAGGTCTCAAAATTTTGCCCACTTCTGAGGAGGGTGCAGATATTACTTAGGTTCATTCAGTGGAAAATTATTCCTCAAAGATTTTCTGCAGTGATTTATTAAAATAGGTTGGGTGCAGTGGCACATGTCTATGTCAATACTTGGGAGGCGGAGGCAGGAGGATTGTGAGTTCAAAAACAGCCTTAAAAGGCTGGCTAGATAGCTCAGAGGATTAAAGTGCCTGCAAGCAGACACAGGAGCTGGGGGTTCATGCTGAGATGACAATTGAGACTGGGCATGGTGGTGTGAGCCTGTAATCCCAGCGTTTAGGAGGCTGCAAACAAGAGAATCACTACAAATCTGATGTGTCTAGTGAGATCCCATTAGAAAAATAAAAACAAAAAACACATTCCCCCCAAAAGATAGGGTAATTTATTCAATAGTTTGGGTACTGACTATGTGCCAATGATTGTGGTTGATTTTAAGGATAGGATGATGAACCCAAGTACATGCTTGTACAACAGAGTCACAATCATACAAAGAGATGAAACGTGGGAGGGACCAGGAGTTTACAATTTTGCTATTCATCTCTTTTATTTTAGTTTTGAAGAGATAGGTCTCATTATATTACCCAGGCTGGTCTTGAACTCCTGGATTCAAAGGATCCCTCCTACTTCAGCTTTCTATGTAGCTCAGACCATAGATGCACACCACCATGCTGCTCATCTTTTGAATTTGCTACGTACCTTGTTGTCCAAATGATGGCACTCAGATGCAAAAAGAATGCACAAAAATTCAAACCCAGTCTTGCTAGAGTCCAGATCCAGAGACAATTGTTTCACTGCGAGGTTTTGGGGTGCATTCATCTTGGGAATTCATGGGTGTTTACTAGTTTTAGTCTTTGCTCATGAGTTTGAAAAGTGATTCATACCTTCCACTGGGTAGGGTTAAATGTCAGTCTGGTTTATCCTACACTGCCCATAGCACCTGTGTTAACTTCCAAAGACAATTAATAGTTAAAAATTACTATAATGAAAAAGAAAAAAAAAACCACCAAAAATTGTTTAGGTTTCTACTTTGCTGCCTCTGGCAAGAAAATAAACTTAGGACTTTAATTAAAAAAAATTATGGCTATTTTAGCATTAATGATTAAAGCCAACTTTCCAACAAATATCTTTTTTTTATTTAAAGGATATTTTATTATTTATTTACTTGGTACAGGGTTGCCCTGCACAACTTGTACTTGTGGTGATCCTCCTTTCTGTCTCCCCAGCACTGGCCAGGTCTTAGGGCTGTCGTAGTGTACCCAGTGTTCCAGGGCTGGCGCAGCATGCAGTGCCAGTGATCGAACTTGGGCTCTTGCACTTGCCAGGCAGGTGCTTAGACTGCTGAGCTATCTCCCTATGTCTCCTGTTTGATTCTGCAAAGGTGGATATGTTGATATATTCACACCTGAATTCCCCTATGGCCTGACCCAAATGTGAGCCAGGCAGTGTTTACTGAGGAAAGAATGTGTTTCCACAGTGCCTATATTAGCTGTCTTTGTGGCTACAAAAAATTGCCATTGATTTAGTGGCTTAGAACAACGTTCATTTATATCTCCTATTTCTTAAGGGCCAAAAGCCCAGCTGCAGCATGGCTCAACTGGTACCCTGCTTCAAGTCTAAGGCTGAGACCAAGTTGTCTATATTTTTTCTACTCTGCTTTCAAATTCAACTGGGTTGTCTGGATTGAGTTTGATGAGGTTATAGGACTGAGATCCCTGTCCTTGCTGGCTGTTGGTAGGGATTTTTCTCAGTTTCTAGAGGCTATTTAAGGGACTTAGGGCCACTTCTAAAGCCAGCAACAGCGAATACAGTTCCTCCCAAACTCTGAATCTAATTCTGTTTTTTCTTGCCAAAACATAATTGCCTTTCTGTTTTTTGTTTTTTTTTTTCAGATATCAACAAAAATTTTTTTATTTGTACCAGGACTAAAACTCAGGAACTTGCACTTGCCAGGCAGGCACTTATGCCACTAAGCTATCTCCCTGGCCCCCAAATTTTATTTATAAAGTTGTTCAAACACAAGAAAATTCTGGTTCCATTTGTGTGAACTATCAAAACCTTAGGGACAGAATGTTCTTTCAAATAAATCAGGTTTTGAATGACAGCTTTTCAATATGAAATATACACAAAATCAAGTTGAGTACCTGTAACACTTCTCTCGTCCATATGTATTTTGAATAATCTTGTTAAGTGCCTATGTGATTACATTGGGCCTACCCCCAGTAAATCTGGGTCTCCCTATTTTAAGGTCCTGAATTCCATCTGTAAAATTCCATTAGCCATTAAATGTAACAAGTTCACAGGCTCCAGAGAAGTGATGGTGAAACTTTTTAGTTTTCCATGATACAAACAGCCTGCTGTGACATACATTCCTTAGGTTGGCCACCACTGCTCTAGGGCCACTAAAACTTGGACATTCTGAGGTGAAAGGGTAATGTTCTGCTTATCAAGGTGCATATACTGAACATATACATTTTAGCAAATCTTCTCTAGTTACTCTATACAGGCAGTGGTATGAAGCTATTCATAAAGACATATGAAATAAACCAGATGCCATGTCAAAAGTTACTGTGCCTGCTGTAGACTGGGGAGAAAAGTACAAAAAGTAAGTTAATTTTTTCTGGGGGGAGGGTTGTTCCTCTTTCCTTGTTAGAGTGAAATTTAAAACGTGCCTTATTTCACCTTATGCAATCCATACATATTTTAGGACTTTTGTTTCCTGCATGTGGCAGTCTTGTGAACAGTACTAGAAGGAGAATCACTGAACCCTTTTGTATTAGGGGTAGGACTGAAAGATAGTGTTTTTCAGTCCTGGTTCTCCCCTGTGTTCTAACACTCATGAAATGAAGGCTGTGTTTTCTCATTCATGGAAACCTTTCCAGTGAGTCTACTGATTCTGCTTTTATAGTTTAAAGAGCTGGCTATCAGTTCAGCTCAGGACTGATTCTAGAAATGTTTCTGGATATGGGCTCAGCAAATATGCACAGCAAACTTTGTATGTGCTGGGTACTTCAAATCTCATTTAATGTTCCCACAACCAAGGCATACAGAAGCTACTTAAGTACACTGCCCATTGTTAGATGCCAGCAGGTACCATTTATCAAGCATGTGCTCTGATACATCAGGGGCCAAATTGTATGAATCTAATAATGTCAAGGTCCTCCTTCACAGTCTTTCGATCTACCAGACGTTTTATGTTAATTTTAATCCCAGTAATTCTGCGAGACATTAGTCCAATATAGGTCAGAAAATAGGCTCAGGGAGGTTGTATAGAGCCAAGGAGTGAACCAGCCAGGATTTCGGTCTAGGTTCATTTGACTCTACAGCCTGGGCTCTCTCCAGGATACTGCTTCTAAACATAGGCGTGTCAATGACCCCAAGTTCTTTACTAGCCATCCTATCACCAAGTTAACCAGTTGGTAAGAACTCTCTACGCTACAAATGCAGCCTCTACAAATAACACAGCAGCATGAAGCACAGGAGGAAACAATGAACCGTCTAGATCCCTCAATCATGGAAAAACCGTTTTACTGGTATGAGTGTCTTTTTGTCTCATTATTATATGGCAGTGAGTCATTTAGGGGCGGACCAAAAAGGAAAGTCCTGCCGCTTGTCACTTAAAAAAGTGTAGGTGAGACCCGCTTAGGCGGGCAGAGGCATAAACTAAGAGCTGGAAGTCCACCTACCAACTCCCAATTCCGCCTTCGCCAGACCAGCGGCCCAAAGACAAGAAGTTGGGAAGGGGTTAAGCTGGGGGATATAGGAAAGCAGCCACCGCCCCTTCCCAGCAAAACCTCCCATAATCCCGCGGGCCTCAACCAGTTCCCGCACCTCGCGAGACTCCACCCAGCCCTTCCCCGAACTTCTGCCCACCCCTTTTTCTACGGAGCCCAGAGCGAAGCGGGGGATGGGGGTAAAAAAGATGGCCGCAGGGCATGGCGGGAAATGTGGTCCAAGGGCTTCACGCAGCCATATTCTTCCGGAGCGGAGAAAGCTAGAGAGACAGCCGGGACTACGATTCCCAGTTGCCCTTTCGGTTTGTTTTTGTTCAAAAAAAAAAAACCCCACACTCCCCCTCCTCACTCTTCATACACACTCACACACACCCACGACAGACACGCACGCACCAAGGCGCCGGAGGGGAAGTCGCGTCTCGCCGTCCCGCCCTGCCACCAGTCCTGTCTCGGTCCCTCAACAGAGCGGGAAAGCAGAGGTCGGAGCCGTGACCCCTGACCCCGTGGTTATGCGGAGCCGCCGCATTCCTTAGTGATCGCGGGGC